TTGTAAATTGTTGGTATACATCCCCTCATGTGCCGGTTTAATCTTCTCGAGATGTCGATCCATGTGGTGCATTTTGTAATGTCTGCATTACATATCTGCTCAATCCACTTTAGATTAAGTTTCCTGAGCTTGTTTCTGTTTGTGTCGAACCATTTATTTTCCATGATTTCTCTATTGTGGTTAGGTTGAATCTTTCTTCTTGTGTTATGGTTTGCTTCCCTCCTATTGTTATTCTCAAATCATATTGTTGACAGTTACGTATTACGTCATGCGTGAAGTTGTGGTTTTCCTTAAACATTTTGGAGCACTTTTCCAATACGGATGTCCATAACCAGGCTTCCTATTGTATGTTTTCAACATTGGCTTTTGTTATATATGACACTGTGTTTCTTTGATCCATATGTACCTTCATATCTATGAGATGTTTCTGTATCTGTCTGCATTGAAGGTCGAAGACCTTGTAGCCTGATCGGCTGTATATCAAGAAGTTCAGCGCAGTTGACACGAATCCAAATTTGTTTTTTGAAACTCGTCTTATCTTCCTATTGATGTCTGTAACTTCTTTGCTGGACAACACCATGTCGTTGAGTAAGTATTCTATTTTGGGGAAGAGTACATGATTGAGAATGTAAACGGTTTGTTTGTCGGTTGTCAGTTTCCATTTGAGTTTGTTAAGGATTTGATTGGTTTTTTCTTTTAGGATTTGTTTTTGAAAGATTTTGCACACTTTTTTTGTATCCATATCCCTAGATATCTGACTAGTGCTTCTGTGTGATTGATGGTTATGTCTCTGAAGTTTATTGTCGGTGGGTTGTTTCTCCCTATTATGACCATGTGTGTCTTGTGTGGGTTGACTTGAATGTCAGTCATGTCATAGAAGGTTTCTGCAGTGTTAATTATTCTTTGCATATCATATTCGTTGTCTACTATCCATGTGGTGTCATTCATATATACTGCAGGTGATATGTTTGTCTTCTCTGTATACATATTGGGCTCGGACTGTGATGGTCTTTTGCATATTTATGTGTATCCTTTCATTCTTGCTATTCTCGTGATCAATGGGTCGTAGTATATCCTCCATAATATGGACAATATGGTGTCCCCTTGGTCTATGCCACCTTGAACTTCATATGGATCCATCATGCCTGCGGCTATAATGACTATGTTGTGTTTGTGACTGAAGTTTTCTGTTATTAACTTGCAGAAAGGATCTGGTATCTTGAGTCTTTTGAGTGTGTGTTTGAGAATGTTGATGTTGATGTGATCATATGCTTTGGACATGTCTTGAAAAATCAGCCAGCATTCCTTGTTATGTAGTCTTGCATTGTCTATCGCACTGTTTACTATCCTAATAGGTTCTCTTGTGCTTAACTTGGGTAGCGCAGACCAGTTGTGTTCTGATAGTATTGGATATAAAGTGAAAACTATGGTAAGTCTTTTTGTCAGTATCTTTGTGAATATTTTTTTTATCGATTCTAGGAGTGTGATAGGCCTAACTTTCAACAGGTCATTTTCCCAGTCCATTGTTTGGGTATCGGATAAATTGTTCCATTTTTTCACTCTGTAGGCATTCTATGGTGGGTTAATACATCATTGAATATCTTCATGATTGCCTTCATTGCTTGTGTTCCGAGCTTCTTGAGGGCTATGTATGGGATCTGTGTAGGGCCTGGTACTGATGTATTATTTGTGTTTAGTATTGTCTCCCATATCTTTTCTGTGCTGATTTCTTCCATTAGGCTGTTATACCATTCACTTTGTACGTTTCTGATAGGTTGAAATTTATGGAGCCATTCTTTGTTAATTCTCCTCTGGTCTCCTCTTGGTGTCCATTTTCTGAAGTGCTCTTGTACTGCTTGTTTTATTCTGTCCTCATTCAGTACTACTTCCGGGTTTTCCTCTTGTGTTATGATTCTGTCGAGTGTGATTTGTCCACACGCATTTCCTAGAATGCTGTTGATCATTCTTTTTTTATCTGTTTCCAGCCAGTTCATTCTTGTGTTTAATGCTGTTCTTATTGCGTTTCTTTTTGTCTCTGTGATTCTAGCCACGTGGCTTTTTTGTAGTATGTTTCTCATGTTTCTGACTTCCGGCAGCCACTCTTTTATGTGTTGTGGGGTCCACACTGTTGGCTGTCCTATTGTAGTTTTGTATGCATCGGCCAGCCCCTTTACCTTGTCTATGTGGCTTGTTTTTGATGGATCCACTATGTATCTTGTTGTGCCCTGAATTATTTGTGATATGCCAATTAATTTGACTGTGCTATGTAGGTTTTGTTTTGCTTTCTTATTTCTGCTATAGCATTTGTTTTTCTTTATTTTCTTGATGTGCTTGCGTGTGGCTGCCAGGATTATCTCTCTGAGTTTGTTCCATTGTTTGTTCATAGTTTGCGAGATATTGGTCATTTGTGTGTCGAGTCTTCCCACGCATTCGTCTTCAATGTATTTTGTCCATGCCATCCATCTATGTTCTTCCGTTCCTGCCCAGTTGTATTTGGTGTTGGGTGTTCTTCTCCTGTTTGGTTGTTTGTGGTTTGTCAGTCCCAGGAAGGTTATCTATGTTACTGCGATCTTGTGGTCTGAGTCATGTATCTCCTTTGGTTCTTCAATGATCTCTGCCGCTTGGATAATGCTATTTCCCTTGTCTGTTACCTATATTTGATCTATTCTACTTTCGCTTCCCACTGTTTTTTCCATATGTATTCCCGGGCTCCTGGATGTAAGTATCTGAATGTGTCCTTCATTTCCTTCATTGTCATGTTGTTGATCAGTATACTATTTCACGTCCACTTGTCCTTTCCTTTTTTGTTTGCGTCGGAGTGATGGTCTATAGTGGATCTGTGGACATTGTTGAGATCCCTCCAGGATTACTTCCCAGTTGTCTTGTCTGGCAATTTGGATCCATTTGCTCACTTGCGCTTCCAGTTGTGCCCTTTTTGATTGGACTGCGTATGCATATACTCCTATTATTCTAACATACTTTCTTCACGGAAATGCTAAATCTATGAGTATAGCTCTATCCGGTATTGTTTGTTTTCTGATGACTCTTTTCGTAAGGTGTGCTTTAAGGCTAACACCTACACCTTCTCCTAGAAGTTGTTCTCCCAAGGTCCAGTATGTTGTGTATATATTATTTTTCCAGTGTTTTTCATTTTGTGATCTACTATTTGTCTCTGTTGTGATTATTATGTTCCATTTGTGTATGTGCCATTGAGTGAACCAGAGATTTCTTTTGTAATCGTCATTTAACCCCCTTACGTTCGATGTTGCGATTCTGAGTGTGGTGGCTGAGGGGATGTTCGTATATTGTGCTTTGGTGGGTCTGACATTCATAGACTGCTTTGGTGACTTTGCTGGCTCTTTATTATTTGCGTTTATTTCCATTATTATATTGATTAATGTTTCTGGTGTTCCTGATTCTTCGACGGATTGTTCGTACGCGGGTTCTGAGTGCGATGGGTTACCTGGGGGCGTTGCTGGGCCTGCTTCTATTGTGCTACTGTGGTTCCCCATTATTGATAGTGGGATGTTGTCATGTATGCTCCGGTGATGTTGTCGTTTTCATCATTGTTCTGGTCCCATACTATGTAAATTACTTCGCTAGGGCTTTTTCGATTCTCTCCATTCCAGAATGTAACTGTTCTTGTTCGGTCCTCAGGTCTTTTATCAGCTTTTCTGTGGTTCCACTCGCTGTTAGCTCCAGTTGTCTTGGCGTCTGTCCGTGTCTCTGGGTTGTTATGTGGTTTGATCGTTGTTTGTCATTTCGTCTCTGACCTCTTCTTCGTAGATATATTCGATCCATTTTACTCTTTTATTTAGGTCGTTCAATTGTTTTTTGACTCCTTTGATTTCTTCGAGAATATGTTGCAATGTGATGAGGACTGTCACTTGCAATTTGTTGCATATCTCATTTGTGTTTCGATTTTCTCCTGGTGGTCCAACTCTATGGTTTCTGCGGGCTATTTCCACGTACGACTTTTTTCCGTTGCTTTCTTTCTTTTCATTTCTGATGATGTTTCTGATCGGGGTGGTTCTGGCCGATCGGTATCTGCAGTATAGAACCCCGAACTGTTTTGCTTGTTCTTCATTATACGTTCTCAGTTGTTCTCTGCGGTGTTTGATTGGGCATTCAGCTGCTAAGTGATCGTACATGTCGCAGATGGCACATAGTTTGGTATCTATTGGTTGCCAGCTTAGTGCCGTGTCTCCTAGTTTGTACATCTTCTGTGTTGCTTTTTCGAGTTCTTGCTGATTTTTGTATGCTATAACTGCATATCTTTTCCTTTGGTACGACATTTTTCTGGGGATGTAGCATGTCTTGGCATGCGTTTCTGTGATTACATCTCTAAGGTCATATGCTGTTGTGTCGGGAGGTAGGTTGCAGAGCTTGATTGAGGTGGATTGTCTACACTTCATTTGGTTGGTGTCCCATGTTGTGTCAAAAACTCTTACCATGTCTGTTTTGAATGGTACGGACCAGAGTTCGATGAGTTTGTTTTTATCATTCCTGTTCTCATAATATATGGTTGTTGATTGCCACATTTGTTACATGCTCATAGTGATGCTTATGATGTTGCCGTATCTGGCAAATGTTTGTTGGATGTCTATGGTTTTTGTATTAAGTGGTATGTTCCATACCCTAATCGCATTTTCCCTTCTTTAAGTGGGACTTAGCATTTCCATGCGCGTGAGTTTATCATTGTGAAATTCGTTTGAGACTATAGTCATTGCGTCATCTGCCACTTGCTAATCTCCGAAGATTGTTACGATGTGTTTGATATTTTTGATTTTTTCGGCACAGATGGAAATTAGGCCGATCGGGCTGCCGAGAACTTTGGCAACCATCTGTATTTTGCTGCTTGTGTGATTGCCTTTGACTTTGTCTGCAGGTATCTTCAGTTTGAATCTTTTCCTTTCATATCTTTTCGTCCAATCGATTGGGGATGACACTTTGGGTTTGGTGCTCTGTCTGACAAGTTGTTTCCCTTTTTTAACCGTGGATCAGCCTGTGCCATCCATTTCTTTGTCCAATTTTGAGTCGCTGTCCATGTCGGTGTCGAATTCCTCTGGTCTTGCGGATTCCCTATTACTTACCTGGTTAGCGCTTTGGTAGGTTTGATCGTTGTGGTTCCCTTTCGTTCCTGTGTGTGGCTGTGTCACGAACTTTTCGTTTTTCGTCATTTTTGTCCAGTTATCGCTTGAACTCTATCGTTTGGTTCTTGTGGAGAAGTAGTTTCTGTCGGTGTATTGCCAGTGCTAATTGGAATCATACTAGTTTTCTGTTTTTCAACATGTGTTTTGGATTTCTTTGCAGAAGTGGGATATGGTTGAGTGGCCGTCTCTCTGATCTTGTTGAATTTGTTACCTTTGCTTAGCTCGTTGTCATTATAGTTGGGTCTTGTAGTGAGAGAGCTGCCTCTCAGTTTCCTTGTGTTTTGCATGGGAAAAAAAAAAACTATGGTTGTTCCAAAGGTTAAAACTAATATAGATATATGTATTTTGTATATTTATTTTTATATATTTTTATGTTGTATAAAGTCAATATATATAAAAGAATATTCTTTGACCTTAATAAAGTTCTAACTTCTGTTGGCATTTAAATTAAAACACTAAAATTTACTATCTTTTTGAAGTTACTAATAATTTCTTTAAGACTTTTATATAAACCAAATATTTTAGAAAACCATTTAACAAGTAAGAATACTTTTTGTTCTATTGAAATTCAAAATAAATTTTTTGAGATAGTTGTTAATATAACTGTTAAAAATAAAAAAAAACTTAGCAAAAAAATTAAATTAGATTCTAAGCAATTTATATTAAGCAATTTTAAGGAAAGTATTAAATTAAATGCCAGAAGAGATATAATTAATTTAATATTAAGAAGATTATTTGTTACTTGTGTAATTTCTTTTGCAGTAACAGATTATTTATTATTTATTAAGTTTTTTTGTAAACAATTTTAATTAATATATAATCTATCTTGTCATATAACAATTTTAATCAATATTTTTTATTTAATTACAATAAAAATTCAAAAAAAATTACAAAAAAACATTATTATTGTTTTGAATAGTTAGACAAATTCAGGAAATCAGCAAATTATATAATTTCATATTAATATTATCTAATAGATATGAATATCTTTGGGCTATTGAAAATATTTTATTAAAGAGTATTACTGGAAAGTTCTTGACAAATTATATAGAAAAAATTATTAATACTATTGGACAAAACAAAATTGATGGATTGGTTATAGATGGAGCTAAAAATTGTAAGGTTGTATAAAAAATAATTAATGAAAATATCCATGTATTATCACTATATGATATATTACATATCATATCAATTTAATTTCAAAAGATATATAGTATATAGATATCAATTTGTAATTAACACAATTAATACAATTAACAAATATCAAGTATTGATTATATTTTTTGAAATTATATCAAGAAATAAGTACATTTTATAAATCTATTAATGAATTAAAAATAAAAAGTAATAAAATTAAAACATTAATAAAAATAAGATAGTTAATAATATATAATTGTTGTAAATTAATTATTAGACTTAGATCTGTATTTGAAGATGTAAATATTTAAATTTTGATTAATTTTATATATTATATATATTATTTGAATTTTAATTATTATATTTTGAATAATAAGCCTGATATATTAAATAATAATTATATAAAAAGTATTATAACAAAAGAATTTTTTAAAGATATTCATCAAATAATTTTATTTTTTAAACCAATTAAGAATACAATATTAGTTTTAAAATACAAAACAATAACTTTGACTAATTGTTTTATTCAACTATATTGATTAGTATATATTATTAATTATATTTTTATTTCAATTTATGAAATTTTTTTAACTATTGTATTATTAAGTTTAATAAAAAATAAAATAAATTTGAACATTCAACTTTTATTTGGCATATTTTTTACATTTTTTATATCATGATAAATTAATTAATTATTTTTTTAATGTTAAGTGAGGCATTTCTCGTGATCTTTATTAATAGAATAAATATTTTATGTTACATGATTAATATTAAGATACTGAGATACATCGCTATATATGTCAGCCTACCACCTTACTAAGTATATTTCGATAAAAAAACCTTAAGGCAAGAAAAAAGAAAGTAACTACTTAGTTTGAGGGGCTAATGTCTCCCTAATAATTTATTCTATCCTGAAATGGCATGGATAGATTTTGAGAATATAGTTGAAGAATTATGTCGATTAGGTTGTGAGTTTGAGTTGAATTATTGTTAGTTGTCAGATTATTTAGTGTTTGTTGTTGTTGTTGTTGTTGTTGTTTTTGTTGTTGTTGTTTTTGTTGTTATTTTTGTTGTTATTTTTGTTGTTGTTGTTGTTGCCGTTATTGTTGTGTGATTTTTTGTGTATTGCGAATTATATTTTTGTCAAGATTTTTTTTGTATTTGGTGTTTTGTGAAATGTTAAGAAATTTTTCTTCTATGATCATTTCCTGATTTCTGGGAATCCATATTTGTGTGTATAATAGTTCAAGCGTTTCATTTTGAATTTCAATTATATTTTTAAGATCTATTTTTGTTGGATTGAGATTTTTGAAAAAAGTTTTCAGTTCCAAGGTACCTGTTGAAAAGTTAATGATATGAATGTTGATGTCGAAGATTTTTTTTGTTTGATTTTTATTGAAATTTTTGTTGTTTTTGAATTTTTTTTCCAAGAGTATTTGTGTATTGTTTATTATTTTTTTCAATATGCTTAGGCTCTCATTGCAGATCCAAAGGTGGTGTGTTGTTTCTGGGTTTATGTTGCATCTTGGGCATAAGTCATTGTTGTATATATTTGGGGATATTATATGTAGGTGAGATTTTGTAGGAAGGGTATTAGAGAGAATTTTGAGTCGGAAATTGTATAATTTGGATTGATATTGTGTAATTGGAATAGGTATGTTTTTGAGATAAATTAAAGTATGTGCTAGAAGTGATAGATCAGGTTTGAAGGTTATTTTTGCTCTTTCAGAATGGATTATTTCTGTTAGTCGGTACGTTTTGTTTATTTGTTTAAGATATTTCCTGATTGGTGATAGAGGATTATTTTGTGTATTTGTTAATGTATATTGAATGGGAAGTGTATCGATTATGTTTATTTGAGGTAGTATGGTGTTGGTTGATTGTATATCAAGTATTTTGGCAGTGGGTTTATAGAATGATAAGGAGATTTGGAGAGTTTGCATTATATTGTGGATGTTTGTGATAGTTGAAAAGTAAAGGAGTTTACATTTTTTTCTGTGGTTGGATGGGGGACGTAGGAATGTTTTGTTGTTTATTTTGGGATGTTTGGAAAAGATTATAATGTGTTTTGTCTTGTTGGTCAACAATATTAGAATGATTGTGCGGAGTAAAGCAGAGAGAGGTTGAAGGTTGAAGTGTGTGGTGAATGATTTAAAGTATTGTATGTAGTTCCAGGTAACTGTGGTAGTGTTGGCATCATACTTAAATGATAGTAGAACTTCAAGTGAAGAGTCCTGAAAGTTGGGCAGGTTTTCAATGATTGATTGAGATGTTGATGAAATGTGTTTGTTTTTAAGTGAATCAAGTAGATTTGAAGGGATAATTATTTGTGGATTATTTATAGTGATATTGGTTTGTAAAGAATTATGGAGGTCTGTTTTTGTTATTTTCGTTTTGTGTATATCACTTGTGAGTGGTTTGATGAAAAGATTAAGTGAGCTGTGTGGGACTAATAATTTGCATTCGTGGGAGTTGGGATAAATGTTAAGGGGACATCCATTGCATTTGGAAAGAGTGAGTGATTTGTTGGGGTCTTGGTTGTTATATGCCCAGTGTTTGACAAGGAGATCATTTTTGTTTGTTTTTTGTTTTTTGCCTATAATTATATTATTGTTGATTAGTGTTGCTATCCATTTTCTTTTGTTATTTGATTGGGCGGGAGTTGTTCCTATTTGATCAAACTGTTGTTGCGAAAGAATATTGTACCAGCGAGGGATTTTTCCTTGAATGTTGTATCCTAATCTGGCTGATATATGTTGCCAGTTGGTGATTTTATTGTCATTAAAGTTGAGGAGTTGTTCGATGTAATATAAATTTTTATTAGCTAGTTGCTTGGCGAATATTTTCCAGTCTTTGTGGAAGGAGAGAAAGTAATATATGGGAGTGATTCCCCCTGGAAGTTTGTGTTGACAGTTGGGTTCTGAACAGAATATTATTTTGTAATGATGGGCTAAAGAGATGGTGTATGTTGTTGTGTTATGATTTGTAACTTGTTGGTTTTGGAATATGCATAATGGTTGGCAGTTGGAGTTTTGGATTGCAAGTATTTCTAAATCTTTAATTGGTTTGGTGGTGGGGTTTGTTAGTGAATATTGAAGGTTGGATATAAGAACTTCGCTTTGAAGATCACTTATTGGTTTGATATTGAATATATGTGGATTGTAAAACCAGGTTTGAGGAAGTGTTTTTTCTATATTGAATTTGTGTTTGATAATGGTGTCAATTTTCCTTTGGATGTTTTTGACCATATTTGATGTGAGGAATGATGTTTGTAATTTAAATTCTATTCGTGGGAGCAGAACTTTGTTATAGATATATGTTGCCATATGACCTGTTGTGAATTTGGGCTTGAGTTGTTGTGCTATTGTTTCTGTGTCTTCCATTATTTTTTCCCGGTTAGGAGTTAGGATGCTGTGTTCAGATAACCAAATTCCTAATATTCGTATTGGTTCTTTTTTCTGAGTGGGAGATATACTAACTGTGCCTTGGTATATTTGTTTGTTGGGTTTTTTGCTATTCATTGTTATTAATTTTGTTTTGGTAGGGTTTGCTTTGATGTCATTGAGCAGGAAGAATTCAGATGCTATATTTAGGTTATTTTGAATTTCATTTTTTGATGTTGCTAATAGATTAAGGTCATCCATATATGCTATAGTGTTATATTTGAGTTGTGATGGTTGTTGTGTTAATGCTGTTATTAAGGGATCATAGAAGATGATCCACCAAAGTGGTGAAAGCATTTCTCCTTGATCGATACCATCTGAGATGATAATTTGTTGTGTGAGGCCATGGTCCGTTATTATTTGGCAAGTACAGTTTGTGAGGATGTTACTGGATAGAGTGATGAATGCTTCAGGAATATGAAGTCTGTGCATGGATTTTTTTAGCATGTTGAGGTTGACAGAGTCGAATGCTGCACTGATGTCTAATGAGAGGATCCATAATTCTTGGTGTGTAAGTTTTTTGATATTGTAGATTGAATTAAGTATTTGTATTGGTTCGAATATGCTTTGGTTTGGAAGTCCTGCATAGTTGGATTTTTGAAGTATATTGTTTGAGGAGAGAATGGAACTGAGTCTTTTTGTTAATATTTTTGTTAATATTTTCCTGAAGGAGTCAATTAAGGCTATAGGGCG